GCGGACTTGACCATAAATTGCTAGCTCATCTTCATGGAAACAAACGTTTAGTTATTTTCTTATGTAAGTCTATAGAGTTCAATCAGCTTCTTTCATTACTAACCCCTTTTCTTCTGTGTGTCTGTTCGTTTTTTACTAAGTGCAGGTCACAGATTGGTGGTAAGAGTTTGTCTACTTGCAGTGTCGTTCCCCTCTCATGATCATGTCAAACTTCTATGCACTGGTATGTAACCTCTTGCAAAAATACGATCAAGGAAAAATGTAAGAGCATGCTATTTGCCAGTTGTTGTTTTCCTTTCTTCCTTGTCACAAAGACGGTGTGGTGTGTAGGTGCGTCTTTACAAAACTAAATTCTACTTGCGAACACAACAGCTAGTTGACTAGCATTTTCTTACATCAATCTGTTGGCCGATGTTGATATAGATGCTATGTTTATGTGCAGGTCACAGATTGGTGGGAAGATTATGTCTACTTGAAAGGGCGTCTGCCGATTATGGTGAATTCAAACTTCTACATAGTGGTAAGTTGCTGCTTGGCTCCAATTCGTGACTGGTCAGAGTGGCAGGGATGCATGGATGGGGTTGGTTAATAATTTTCTTGGCCAAATATTTTATTTGCACTTCATCCTCTTTTAACAATACTAATTGTAGAGTGGTAACAAATAAGTTGCCAACAATAAGTTAACAACCCCTGCTACTAGTTTGTTGTAGTATTTACCTGTAGTTTGTAGTTTGCATTTAAACACTGCAGCATGTATAATGCAACAGTAAACCTGAAAATATTACAAAACCCAGAGCAGAGAAGAAACATAGAGGCAATTACACTGGCTCTGTAATTATGACCTGAAGGATCAAGTAGGTCTACATCAATAGCCAAAATTGGTGCAGATATAGAGAATTTATCATTGCCCTTTTTTGAGCTTTTGGGCCAATAAATCTATGCACAAAATTCTTGGCAATGAGTCATTACATAGGCACGTGCACTCGCACATGCACTCACGCACCTATGCACCTATGCACGCACACTGTTCAGAGATGTAGTTTAATTTAACACACTAATCACTTGCTGTTTATTAACTCCATTATCAGTTTTCTATGTTTATGTGCAGCATGAGGTGTATCCTATGTAGAAAAGTGAATGTATGCACTACTTACATCTAGAAGACTGCTACTAACTTTGCTCAAAAGCTTATGATAGTTATTTGTAGTGATTCTTTTCTTTAATTTAAAAGGTATCCGTATTGATATAATTATTTCGTAATATGAATATAATCAAGCCTGGAAACAAATTTTGTCCGGTGTCATGTACAATATAATGTGTCAGCTTTACAGTATATTTAGCTGGTATCATAGATTGTTGGACAAGGTGTCAGTGCACCGTAGATTATCATAAAAAAACACTGGTTCTTTCAATGATTCTATATTTAATATCTATTGGTTTAATCAAGATCGTGTTAAGAAGGTTAATAGTTTCTTCTTAATACGCTCTTGGTTTAATCTATTTAGGCTAATTTTTGTGTTCTGCCTTACAACTGGTAAAATGTGTGATTTGATCTTTTGACCTTTTCTAACAACACTGAATTTAAACAAATATCGAGCTGTTGGTTAAGACCTATTTTATCTGACATTCTGCTAGATACCTTAATCTACCTACTAGATATATAGAATCTGTAGATTGGTGTATTGATAATTTCTCTGTTTGCAGCATTACGGATAAGTCATTAATATTTCATTGCTGCTGGTATGTAAACGTTATTTAAACAGGTGTACAGACATTATATTCCAATTTGTACCTAGTAATTGTATCCTCCGAACGAGTTCGGGGGGATACTATGGATTTGGCCTCGTCGCGCCGCCACCGCAGAGATGTCCTTGTGAGCGCTCTACCGGCTGCAGTTCTTCTCGGATCATCTTCAAATTTCTCATGAAGGTGCGTTATCGTAAACCGAAGACGCCAATCGTTTTTGGTGTGGGCGGAGTCATCATTGCCGTGGTAACAACATTTTTTGTCGCAATATTCTAGAACTTGTAACTTCTGCAGTTTTTACCCGATTGTCATGAAATTTGGCACACAGGACCAATATATACATATATATAGATAGGACATGTTATATCGGCCCTGTGTGCCAAATTCCATGACAATCGGGTAAAAACAGCACAACTTACAGGTTCTACAATATCTCCACAAAAATGTTGTTACCATATGGCAACGATGATTCCGCCGACACCAAAAACGATTGGCGTCTTCGCTTTACCATAACGCACCTTGGCATCTTGGGGAGAAGGTGTGCACAGTACCAAAACCGGGTCACTGCGACCTTCATTTCACCTTTACCTTGACATTGATCATATTTCCCTTCCGCTCTGTAACTCGGCCCCTAATTCACCTAGCGCTACCAAACTTGGTATACTTACACATCTTGGGGAGAAAGTCTGTCGCATACCAAAGCCGCCACTGCCCTTGACCTTAGTTTGACCTTGACCGTCGACTTACATTTCCTCTTCGTCCTCCTAGGGTAACCAGATTCCATATACTTGCACATCTGAGGCAGACCAGTTGTCTAACAAACCTTTGTCTTTGTGACTTATTTAACTTTACCTGCCTTCTACGTCCTTACAGAGATATTCCATTCATACTAGGTCACGGGGGATACATGTAGTTGGCGACAACTGCTCGTTTCTAGTTTTTTATAAAAGTGTTTTCTGGAGTCATTTATATAATGATGTTGTTCTCTCAAGCTGTAATTTTCAGTTAATTAGTTCAGTCATCTAGGAAGTACGTGTTGTTAATATTTCGTGTCAATTGTGTATTCATACTTTACTCTCGTCATACTCTCCATGATGCTGCATGTATTAACTCTAAGCATGTTTCGTTTCTACCCGTGTACTTAGGATGCAATACTTACGAAGCCGACCAACATTCAAGCAGCTCGCGCTGCCAACTGCATACACGCGATTTTTGAGTTCCGGGAGACTATAGAAAAGCAAGAAGTGAAGCCTCTATTGGTGAATGGTCTGGTGCCTTTGTGTTCAGCACAGAACGAGCGAATCTTCAACACGACACGAATTCCAGGAGTGGAAAAGGGTGTGCACCTCCCTGTACTGTGTCACTGCATATATCATTCAGAGTTACTGTCTCACCGCATACTTATTAATACAGACACTGTCTCTGTTTGTATCTATCTATATCAGCCTGTGTGCACGTGCACGTAAACAACTGTTGTATGTAATATACAACTCTTCTATGATAGTAATACCTTTTAAGTATAAGAAAGAATTTGCGAACTTTCAAATATTTCTAATAATTCTTTCTTAATTTTCTACCTCTCTCCACTCACTCTCTCTCTTGTGATCTTAACATTTTGCTGAGATTTGTCCTCGGCTCAACAATCGCTCACCTGCTGTGCATATAAATTAACACGACTTTAAGTGTTAGTTATGTTCTAGAATAATTTGTAGTCAACAGTTTCACTGTCTGATTTCAGACCACCTTCAACACTGGCATGACAGCTCACACATTGTTGTCTTCAACAGAGGCAAATTCTTCAAGTTGCCGTGCTACAGAAAGCGTGACTTGATTAATCAAGCTGAACTCGAAGTGTAAGAATTAAAAAAAATTGTTTTACCTACTTCTGTGTCACTAAGTTAGTATATATCTATAATATTATTTCTTTCTTTGTATATATATATATATATATATTATTAGCTTATCTGACATAGTCAGATGCAGCTTGTAGAATCGCATGAGCGTGCGTGCGTCCGGCCGTGCGTGCATCCGTCAACAGTTGGGCAGAAATCTAAACGGCTTGACGTACGGATTCGAAAGTCGGGACGTGGGGGGGTAATCCGAAAACGAGTTGGGATGTCGAGGCTGGGGGTCAAAGGTCAAAGGTCAAGAGGTGTAAAAGAAGGGGAACATTCCCTCCTTAACTTAAGGTATAGGGAGGAAATGCAGAATTGTGGCACAAATCTAAACGGCTTGACCTAGGCTCGTGATAGTCGGTGTATAGCATCATGGTAGGAAAAGCCATCACTGTGCCGAAATTGGAGGTTACAGGTCAAAGGTCAATGGGGCAGATTTTAGACATTTTCTGAGGACATGGTCTGACGAAGCGATTGAAAAACTTTTTTGTTTCAGCGGTGACCTACCAATTTTTATGGCTTTATTGAAAGGACCATGAAATGTACTTTCTGCTGACATGCAAAGAGTAAGTGTCGGATAACCTTTTGACCCTTAAGAAGAAGGTTAAACATGTATTTGTTTACTGTTAAAAAGAATTTGACTGCCGGGTTTGCTAGTAGAATCTATACATGCCTGGATGTATGAGGCTACAATGTCACAGTGAAATTTCCAAAGCTAAATTTGGTTGAAGAAGGTTTTTGCTCCTTAAATTGTATAATTTTTATGCCATTCTCTACTGTCAGTGTGTTACATGTAACGTATGCCACTGCCAGTGC